TAGACACTGATCAGGTCCCCCCTCAGCCTCCTCTTCTCCAGGCTGAACATGCCCAGCTCCCCCAGCCTTTCCTCATAGGGCAGATGTTCCAGGTCCCTGATGATCCTCGTAGCCCTGCGCTGGACTCTTTGCAGCAGCTCCACATCCCTCTTGTACTGGGGAGCCCAGAACTGGACACAGTACTCCAGATGTGGCCTCACCAGGGCTGCGTATAGGCGGACGATCACCTCCCTTGACCTGCTGGAGACGCTCTTCTTAATGCACCCCAGGATCCCGTTGGCCTTCTTGGCTACCAGGGCACACTGCTGCCTCATGGTATAAACAGAGTATAGTAGTTATGCACTTTTGTGGATTTAGACTCATTACAGGTCTTCATATGCTACTTCACATGCAATGTTGTGAAAGAACAGAATTATTTCATAATACCAAACAAAAAGGAAGACTATTTTGATGTATCCACTAACATCAAAATATTTCAGTCTCATGCAGGCTGAATAGATCCTTAGTATTTTCTGGTATGTTGAGCGCGAAGATGTATACTGTTACACACACATGGACCAGCCCTACTGCTTTGTGCAAAGTCCAGTGGGAAAGCTCAGGTACAGGAGTTAATGCTGACATAAAGGCCAGAGCCTGATTCTTCTGATGTTAAGAGGAAAGTTTTCATTGAGCCCAGTGGAATTAAGGTTTAGTGTACATGCTGTTGTTTCTTTCAGGTTAGTGCAGTCTTAACACTGCTCCAGTCTGTTAAGTAGTCTTTACTAGTTCTGCTTTGTTGCTCTGAAGGAACATTTATGTTCAAAATAATCCCTCTACTGCAACATGTTCACCTATCAGATACTGAAGATACTGAAGTGTATTTAAAGCTGTAGCTAGGTAATGCCCTACCGATAATCTCTTTCGTTCTGTCCAAATGAAAATCTCAAACCTAGAAAAAAGATTTTTTTAGAATATTTTATGTAAGGAAGCTTATTTTTTATTCTTTAACCTGTAGGAATCTATAGCTGTGAACAAACATGAAATTGTGAACACTCAAAGTTTTTATATACGTGTGTGTGTGTGTGGGGGGGGTTTCATCTCTTTGTCTATTCAAGCATTCTTTAGAGACCTGCTAAGTGATGTTAACAATGACATATTTTATCTGTTATGCTAAAGGATTTTTCAAATAAAATAGTAGGTAGAAGCTTTGGTCTACAAGTATCTCTTACGTGGCATAAAGGTGCTGAAGTCATTAGGCATCGAAGACATGAAGCAGCTTCAGTGAAGATATTCTTGATGTGATTGACAGTAACTGTACTATGAACAGTAAGACATACAAATTTCTTAAACATGCAAGATGAAATCTCCCTCAGAATTTCTAAGCTAGAGAAGCAGTTAAAAACAAAAATCAGCTACAGAAAGTAAAATAGGTACTCTGTGTTGAAGCCCTGAAATAGAGAAGTACTCTTTCATGTCCTTGCACCTGGATGAAAAACACACCTTAGAGAAAAAGAATGACTTAGAAGGCATATTGCTTTTCATGTTTCTGAAGAGTGAAAAAGAATGGCTTAGTACATTTTGTAGGTTTGAAGGCTAGGGACACCCATTGGGTCACAGTTTAAATTGCCCTTTTAAATCCTTTTGTCCGGAATCTTTACAAGAAAAATGAACTTGCATCAATAGTAGAGATGAATATTCTAACCTCACTGTTTTGATCTGGCACACTAAAAATTCATTTTAAATTACGGTCTGGATAACTCGGCAGATTTAGTTTTAGGTTCTTTGAGTACTTAAACTTAAAATGACATGTTTTCATGGCCGGAGTAACTTACAGTGTTTGACATTAATTCCTAGAAATCAATTCAGTTGAGGAGAAGCGGAGCAGTGAGACAAGCCGTCTATCTCAGCTTGGGTAGTTTCACATTTGCAGCTCCATTTTAGAGATGAAATACGTTAAAGCCTAAAGAAGCACTGAAAAGGGAAAATCAAAGGATTTTTAATTGAAAAATAAACATAAAACAAAACTAAGTAATTTATACAAATATTTTAGAACCAACTRATTATGTATGGGGAGAAGTAGCACCTGTTCAGAGAAATAATTCAGCTTTTTGGTTTAAACTACCACTACTTAACCGTTTGTCATTCTTACCATTCTTCTCAATTAAGATTTAAGAAACTCCATAATGCATGTATATGGCTGCATATATCTGCATAGATTATGCACTAAGCACTTAAGTTTGTATTTACAGTTTAACTTCAGAGTTTCTAAAAAGTAGGTCTGTTTGCATTGCTCCTAATTCTGCAGTAGGTGGCAGTGGGTAGTGAAGAATACAGTTTAGATGCCATCACATTTTTAAGAAAAGCTTAAAAAATGGCCAAGCATTTGCTGCTTTTGAGTTACGCATATATCAAATAGAAGGGAAGTGTCAAACAACTTATGTATTGTCATGGCTAAACAGAAGCTTTTGGAAAGTATTACAAAAAATAAATTTACAATAGAATGAAATAAGATAAAAGTAGATAGAGCATCCTATAGAGTATTCTGTAACTTTATGAAGGTGAGTCTACATAAGAAGACTATATTGAACACTTAAATTTGGGAGGAGATTCAGGGTGTCTTCATAGTCTGAGAGTATAGAGTAAACATAGATTACAAAAGGAAGAAAATGCTATGCTGAATTTCTGATTTACCACTATTTCTCTGGAAATCAGTTATTTTAATTTTTACTACTGAATTTTGAAAATGGCAATGTAATGCATGAAATGAAAAACAGTGGGGATGAGTTAGCGTTTCAGTTGAGGTGATAGGGTAGAATAGTGGTAGGGTAAACTATAGGAATCAAGATCTTTAGTGGATTGCTAGTGTGGGAGTATTACAGCAGAGCTCTGCTTTTAAGTTCTTTGCGCATCCAAAACATGAGTGTTTCGTTGTATACAGAATATTAAACTAGATAAAATGATCTCTGACAGACCTTTTCAGATCTTATTTATTGTTGATTTTTATTTTATAACTTCCTGAAAAATTGGCTGAGTTGGTTTACATAAAAAGTGCTCTGTTAGCACCCACAATTACTCTCAAATTCTTGGTGGACCTCAGCTCCTATTGTGAGCTCAAGATACAGAAAGTAAAAATTTCCTAATGGCGAGGTGTGTAGAAGTTCAAATCTGAGATACTCTGAATAGTAATCAGGAGTGGGGTTTGTTGGGGTTTTTCTTGATCTTGAAATTCGTATGTGTGGCTTGATGTTAGTGCACAGTGTTTTCTATAGCCTGGTCATGCAGACTGCTGGACGTGTTTCTTTGAGACTAGTGCAGGTAAAACTCCCATTAGAGCTGTGGATTTCTGGTCTTGATACCTTATTTGGATTTTTTTTTTGTTCATGCTTTCTGTAAAAGACTTTGTGTAGCTAAGAAGTAAAAAATTGATTAAGCTAAATAATATAGTTCTGTTTAATGTTAATTTTCTAATCGTAAAATCATTGCTTTAAAGATGCTACCTGTTGTGTGAATTGATAGTTTGTATTACAAATATATATGAGTCGATCAAGAAGGCAAAATATCAGCTGTTGTAMTAAGTCATGTGGAGTTTTGCACAGATTTCAGTAATAGTGAGATAGTTTTAACTTTATGATGTTAGTTGCTCTTTAGCTAATTATCTGCACAATTAAAAATGCTTTTGTAAAACTGATACTTGTGAATTGTTTCCAGTCTATATCAAAAGAAGGGCAAAATCTGAAAGCAGTAAAAGGACAACTACGAACAATAGGCACACTTTCTGTCTGCAAACAGTAAACACAGTTTTTGTCCCTTGATTTTTGAAGCAAGAGCCATAAAGTTAGATCTGAAAGTATGAGTACTTCAAAGAGCCTGTTTTATGTCTACTCTGAAAGAAAGTCATTGACCCTATTAAACTGTGGTTGAACACTTCTCTGATTTACTTCTGTGTTAATCCAGTTTTGCGTGGGTAAAATGAGTATTTTCAATGAAATTGTGCTGGTTTAAGTTTGAAATCATGCATTAATGACTTCTACAGTGTTTGTGTTTGAGTGTGCACATGCATGTCTTACTCTTCAGTATTCTCTAATGTGCAACAAAAACTGCATTGTTCTGTGCAATGTGAGTAGTAAACATCTCTGATAAGTCTCAGTCATACTGAAGACTAGTTTCCAAAACATATCAAAGTTCTCTATAACATGCATCTAGATTTCCCATTTTCTATTCTGTTGTTTGTGGCTTTTCTTAGAAAATTTGAAATTTAAATAAATCCTTAGAAAGATTGAATTTTTGTTGTCTGATAAAACCCGTTTTTCTTCTTTTTTGCTATGAATAAGAGACTGTCTTTCAGGACAGTGATATATATTTAGCTTCTACTTGTATGATTTTACCATTAGTGTTTCTGCATAGCATTTCTTTAAGTGGCTGTTTCTGCTGTGAATATTTTAAAACCATCTACCTTTTTTTTTAAACCAGGAAGTTACTGAATTTAGACAGCTAAGTCTTGCTCTTGGTTCATAGAAAATGCTACAAATGTCTTCAAATTTTAGAAGTAATTTAGGAAAAGTTAAAAGGAACATTGTAACATTCACTGTTAACTACAAATTTTGTCATTCTAAGATACCTCTTTGTAACAAATCTAAAACAAAGGGCTGATCCTTATGAGTTTAGGCCTTTTCGGAGTTTAGGATGGTGGTTTTTTTTGGTTCATCACATGTTTAAATTTCTCAAAATCAGTGTTCAAAGATCCCACTCTTGCTTACATTGTTTGGAGGAGTCCTATAAAATTCAAAAGAGTTAAATCAGATTGTAAATCAGAAATTCAAGTTGAAAATTAAATTTTGCAACAATAAAAATGTAGTGGAAGAAAAAACGGTTCTGTAATATAATGTAGCTTTGTTCTTTAAAGAAAAAAAATGTAATTGATTATATAGATTTTAGTAGATTGCTGTAAGTGAATTAAACTAGAAAAAAAATTCTTGTTACTTTCCTGACAATGTCTTTCTGCTTTTACTATGCAGACAGAAGCTCTTGTGGTTGTGTAAACTGCACGTGCTGCATCAATGGATGTTGGAACATCTTGGTCCAGATTGTGTTCAAAAGCAAGGTATGACTTTATTTTCTGTGCAGAAACAAATGAGCAGAAAGAGTTAAAAGGCTGAGAATATCCTGGTAATGGTAAGGGAACACCACAGGCTAAGAGTTCCAAGCTGGCCTCGTGTAAGTCAGAAACATTTTGCACCTTTTATGCTTTGAAGCTCTTCTGCTGTGACATGTGTAGGAATCTCTGTGGAATTTCAAGTACCCAGATCTCTCTCATACTGTCTCTTTTCTGTGCTTTCTTGGGCTGCCAGAGATAAGACACCATGTGTCAGGTTCCCTAGTGAGATAAGATGAGACCAGAGCTGAATTTGGCCTAATCCTTGTTTCCATGAGCAAGCCTTTAGTGTAACTCACAGTAGTGAAATATGCTGAGCTTCAGAAGTTGAGCAGACATCACTAGTTCAGCAGATGCTGAATGATAGTTATCCAGATTAACAGCATGGTATTGATATAAAAGTGCAGTGACTGAACTCTGTGAAGGAGATAGCGATCTGTGATGAAAATACCCATAAAAATTATTAATGATGAGAACAATTTCATTTATGCAAGTCCATAATAAACTTAGAGCTGAGTCTGGTGGTTGATACAGAAATGTGAGTAGGAAGTGGCATGTTCTTGAACAGAAAGTTCTCTAGCATGCTTCCCCACCTCCCTACGCAATCTCAGTTTCTAAGTGTACATGTGAATAAATGGCTGCTTACTTGGTAGTGGAACATGGGTTAATATTACCACTTTCACCTAAAATTTCCTGAAGTACAAGACTGGGATTTGTTTGTTTATTTTAATGAGGCAAATTACTGTGAAGATCAATGAGAGCTCACCTTATTGACGCAATTTGAACAGTAGCATAACTGCAAAACACTGATCAGAGGTGTGAGGATGCTGTTCCCTCTATGAAAAACCCAAAGTATAAAAATTCAAAGCTTCAGAATATGGAAATTAATGCAAAATGGTGAAGTCGATTTCTTTCGATGTAGAGAAAATTGTTTTCTCTATGTACTCTTTTGCTTTGTCATCAAAGATCCCTAGCTACCCTTCTTGAAACTAAAAGATTTAGAGAATTGCTTTTAAAATAATTTTCCAGAAAATATAAACTATCCACCAGTTGGCTGCCTTAGCTGTCTCTGTGTCTTTGGCTTGTTCATTCCTACCCTAATGTGGCTGACTGATCCATAATTATTTGTCTTCTCCTTGCCTCCCATTTGTAATTGTCTAATACTCCCATATGTTTGATGTTTGACTCTTGCTTTATATTTTTTCAAAAAAGAAAAATGGAAAAGTCAGGACAGAGATTGGCCAAAGATAAACTGTTACATATATAACACTGAGGACAGGATGAAAAGTAGTGTTAACATACTTTATGAAAATTTAACTCTTGCTAGTGGAAGAGTCATTTCTTCTTAAAATTAAAGACTAGAATGCCATTTGCAAGGTCTCATGAGGTCTGTAAACTGCTCCAAAGTGAAGTGACCTCCAGGGCACAGTCCAAAACTTAAACCACCAAAGAGGCAAGCTGCCTATTGCAGTATATTGAATATACTGTATATTGAATAAGAAGAACAGATTGAACTACCTAAGAAAAAAGATTTAGCTATAGTTCAGAAGTTCAATATACTTTAGTTTGTCATTGAGACAAAAGTATATATTGATTTGATAGTACTATGGCAGAAGCCTACCATGTACTCTTTTGTCTCTTACCATTGCTTCCACCTATCTTTCAGTTTGATATTATAAACGATTATATATCTTCAACCTCTAACCCCTTAGCATGCTTTTACTAGATGCCAGAGATTGCAGCTTGCTTCCACTGCTTGTCACTTCCTCTTGCCATTTACTATATTTGCCAATTTCTAGCTGTCAGAGTGGGCAAGAAGGGAATGAGCTGCAGTTGCTCGTTTGTTTCTTTTTTCTTACTTTCTCATTCTTTGCTCTTTAGTTTTGCTTTAGAAAAGGGTTATTTTTAATTTTGAAGAAATATTCACTCAGTAAATAACTTGACAAAGAATCCATAAACCATTTTGGGTCTGTATCCTAATTCAGAAGATTATCTGTCAGAATTAATTGAGAATGCCTTAATGTAATAAAGTCCAGTTCATTAGGCAAACATTTAAATTATTAATTTAAATATTGGGTAGTTCAACAGCATTTATAATAGTAACAAATATCGATGTATTTTAATTTTAAAACTTGTCACAGAAGTTATCCCCCTGTAGCTACTGTTAGACATATGTAGCTTTCAGCTTGCTGATGTTTTAGTTTTTTGGAGTCTGTTAAAAGTACTCTGTTCAAAAAAAGGATTTATGAAAAAAATGTGGTTTTGCATTTAAAAATAAGCATAAAATGTCACTTTTCATCAAATAATTCTTTTTTTTGACTTGAGTTACACAGAGACAAACTTGAATAAGAAAGCTTAATTTGATACCAATTTTACAGAACATCATAATAGTGTGTGAGTATTTAGCATAGATCTAGTTCTTCTGTATTTTAGCTGCTCCATCTGCTTTAGTGTTTTTCATCTCTGTAATCGGTTATTCCCCTGAATGTGAAATACACATAGGGGATGCAAGATGAGAGCAGTGTGGTTAACAAGACTGAAGAAACAACATGGTGAATAATGGTTGTAGGCTGAGGAGATGAATTGTCTGCAAAAGATGGCATTGTTTCCACTCTTTTTCAGTTCCTGTAAAAGGCACTGACAGCTATGTATTATGTGAAACTAAGCTGAAATGAAGTTGCACGTCACAGCATGGCAGCACTTGTGTAGGATCAGGGGCTAAGCATTTCCGTTCCTGCCATTAGCTCTTCAGGGAAGAAGCTGTTTCAAAACAAACACAGGAAGGAAGTCCAAGCAGTTCAGTTCTGTACACTGTGATCATGTGCAACTCATGAAGGGTATATGCAGCCACTCAAGTATACATGTCGAGGAATTACCAAGACAGCTTCACTTGTTTTCTGCGCCTGAACCTGGCTCTCTAGATCTTGTCACCTTGGTTCTCCAGATTTAGTGAAGAAATGGCAGGATCTCAGTCATTTCCAAATACTTGTGAGGTCTGGTGGCACACAATTTGCAGTATTTCCTATTTTCCTGAAAGCTATTCGCTAGGCTAATGATGGATGTTTCTAGTGAGCAATAAAACCAAAGTGTCTCATAACTATAGWGACAACTATAGGACTAACATACAATATATGAACTTGCAAACTGTCAGTATGGTTGGTCTGTAAGGTGTTCTTTTTTTTTTTTCCTTGTAAACTCAGCTAATCTGGTGAGAATTTAAATATCAATTTGCCATCCTTCTCATTCACTTCTTTTTCTATAAAGACATGCTGACACTTTATGTTGCAGTGTAACACACAAGTGTCTTGCATGGTGGTGGCGTCTAATAAGTAAGCTTTATATCAGAAGCAGTTTAGATTCAGCAGCGTATAGCTCTGCCTGTTTTTTTCTTATGCACCTTCAGATACTGTGACTGTGTTAAGTAAATACTACTTGAATTCTCATTACTTGCTGAGCTGCTCACCTCTGCAACCGTAGTAGTGCCCCTTTGAACATAGAGCCCTGTGTGATTGCCTGAATTATGTTTGCCCTTAAACCATACCTGATTGTGTGGATCGGGGGTAGACTCTGTTGGGCTGATTTGTCGGCTGGTGAGAACATATGACACGACAGAAGTTTCTTGACTAGTGTTCCGGGGCATGTGCTATTCGAAGTTCAGGATTAGCAGGGAGTAGCATTTTCACATGAAACAAATAAAAGCTGGGAGGCGTGTTTTAGTAATACTAAAATATGTTTGCCTGTGAGCTGAGAGGACCAGCTGTAAAGCCCTAGGCATGCCATATGTCACCTTTCCTGAAGGAATTTTAATACACGGGTGTTCTGTTGTCTCTATTTGTTTATGGGAAATTAATTTAGAATTCAGTTGTAGATCTTTACATTCAGCTTTACTTTAGCCTTTAGATACAGTTAACCTGCTGTGTCCATTTGCTAATCTTCTGTTTATATATCTTGGAAAACTCTTGGTTGTATTTTTTTTCTTTTGATTTGATTTTCATTTTGTTTTTTTTCTCAAAGCTCATGATCTTGAATGTTAAAAACATTTGTCTTTTTTTAAAAAAAATCAAAGACCGCTAAACAAATAGCTAAACAAAAAAATTGTAGTATATGTAGATTAAGTTGATTTAAAAAAAAGATACAAGTCTTGTATGAAACAAGATCTTTCCAGTCGCTATTTTCCGTGTTGTTGGAACAGAAATAACTATAGCTGAAAATAGAAGGCTTGAACTGGTAAGTGGCATGCAGAGAATTAACATTGAATCTGAATATTGCACTTTAAGACTAGGAACTATCTATGGACAGTGCTGAAGAGATGGGTTTTAAAAATCTTTCTAAAAAGACAGTGTATGGCATTGCCTTTCATCACATGACCTATGGTTTTGTGTCAATTGAGAAACCTTGCTGTGGAGGTGTATTAGATTTCAGAATATTTCAGAATATTTCAGAATATTTCAGAATATTTCAGAATATTTCAGAATATTTCAGAATATTTCAGAATATTTCAGAATATTTAAGGTTGGAAGGGACCTCTACAGATCATCTAGTCCAACCTTCCTGCTCAAGCAGGCACACCTAGAGCATGTGGCACAGGGTGGCATCCAGGCGGGTTTTKAAGACCTCCAGAGTAGGAGACTCCACAACCTCCCTGGGCAGCCTGTTCCACTGCTCTGTTACCCTAACAGTAAAGAAGTTGCTCCTCACCTGGAGACGGAACTTCTTGTGCTTCAGCTTGTGGCCATTACCCCTCGTCCTATCGCTGGCCACCAGTGAGAACAGCCTGTCCCCACTGGTGGCCAGCTGTCCCCACTGGTGGACAGATAGATAATAGTATTTGACTTCTGACAAACTAATTTCTAGAGTCATAAAATTAGGCTAATTCCTGTATTGTTTTTTATATGGTTAAAATGATTGTGGGAAAATAAAATAGTGTTTTGACCAAGAAAACACTGAGA